ATGTATTCTGCACTATCTTTAAAATATTGATTTTTTAATTTTGGGTTGGAAAAGTGGGGGTCGTCTTGTACATGTCTTATTGTCGGAAAAATATAGTAATTTAAATGTTTTAAAACCTTGATTGGCAATAAGCTCCTCAGTATTCATACTGCTACTTGCCTATGACTTTAGAAAATTACTAGCCCTTTGTCATGTGAATAAGGGTGGAAATTATTTTTCTGTCCCAATATCTCCCAAATATGCTTTGCAGCCTGGAATGATGGAAATAAGTGGGAATTTGACAAAACAAAAACAAAAACCAAAGCTCCTGCCAAGGTATCAGAGGGGTCACATAATACCTTTCTTATTGCACCCATAATGGTTTTTGGAGTTGATCAGCTGGATTATGAAGAATCCATAGAATTAAAAAGGTGTGTTCAGGAATAAAAATGTAAGGCAGGAAAGTTAAAAAAACAAGACAAAACACCACTATCATGATAGCTGTAATTTATATATATATTTTTTTAAAACAGATACTTGCCAGTCATTGTTCTCATTCATTCTTGGTTCTCTGAATGGCCCAATCACTATTGCTGTACTCTTTCATTTCATACCCATATCACATTAATTCAGAATGTTGCACAATTTTGCCCAAACTCATCTCTGGTTCTTCATTATCATCAGAGGAGTCATAGGTATCTAGTAGTTTCTACTACTGTTGTACTGAAATGATTAAATGTGTGTTTTGCAACATCACAATGAAAACCCAGGCCTTCCATACTTGTGCCCTAATGCTGGGTGCAAGTATGCAGGTCATGTGGTTCTTGTTCTGATGTTTTGTCATTTGTCATCAAATAATGCATCCCTGACTATCATGTATTTGTTTTTATATTTTTATATGTCAATGTGGTTGGATCATTCATCATAACAAAGAATGTATGTAAGTACTTTCATAAACGTTCACAGTAACCATTCCTTTTTTCCTAGTTTCACAAATGTACAACATACCTACTTTTTTTTCTTACATTTCACTCATTAATTCACACACTCCATGTATACCTCTCACATTCCAAATTGTCATCTTCCATATGCCATTGTTGTTGCCAAATAGTCCCACAGATATGGGCCTTTGACTGCCACCCATCATGGCTTTTGTCAATCTTGACTTTCACATAACATCCCCCCCTTTTTTTTTG